ATGGAAGTGTTAACAATGGAAAACAAGAGAAAGCGACGTGCAAGATTTACGGGCGCTGGAGAAAAAAAGAGAAGTATCACAAAAATTTAAAGAAAAGAATCCTGAGGCAAACAAAAGAGCTGTAAAGAGGCATTTTGATAGGAATCCCGATGCTAATAAAATGTGTTGCGCTAATGGAAAGGTTATGTTGCCCGGATTCAAAGAAGCACCCGAGCCTTTAAGTGATCTTTCTTACAAAATAAATGAATCAAGTGGCAAAGAACTGCAAAAGCAATCGAAGAATTTTCTAAAAAATGCAAGAAAGTATAATGGATGTTTCCAAAGGACTTCGTTCGGCAGTAAGGAAGTGAGAGAAGAAAATTTTATGCCAACTTTTAAGATCCAAGGACAAATATATCATAGGATTGGCAGTCTTTTGCCATTAGAAGATCAACCACCTGTATTTCTTCAAATATATTTTGTAGGAAACGATGAAGAAGAGGTGAATATTAGGTGCAATCATTCCACAGGAGTGGATAAAAGATTAGTTTATCAAATACAAAAGGCTCTTCATGAGCATAATTCATATATCAAAGAGTTTAAAGCAGCTATTGAACGAAAATCAACAGGAGAAAATTTTCAAATTGTAATTAATCCTGATAAACGACCTGCTGGTGAATATAGAGGACGATTTAATGCACCAACTGCAGATGAAGTGGCCTTAGTCATTGTTGGACAATCTTTTGAAAAGCGCGACATTATTATTCAAAGCAAAGATAATAAGTTTGTGCGCATTCCTGAAACGCATCGCTCTTATGATGCATTACAGTACTTATTGATAATAATAATAATATGAAACGCCAGAAAAATACGAGAAAACCGTTTCTGGTGGGTAAAAAATAGAAAACATGACACAACAAAAAAAGTAACTACTTAAAATGGATAAACTGTAAAAAAAGAAAAGGATAAAAGAAGATATAAAGAACTTAGAAAAAAATTAATTTTGGGAAAAATAAGTTTGGGATAGAAATTGTACAGAAATAGGAACATATATAGGAGGAAAAAAATGCACTGAAGCATGGAAATTCCTAACAAATATCAGAAATTAGCAGGTGGGCCCGGCGTTGCTCGGGCAAAAGTAACGATAACTAAGATAAAGATTATTACGTTACAGTCAACCTTACCCGTTTTCACTGGTACTGTGCGATGTTCTTGGAATTTTTTGTCGATA